TAAGACAAATGACATTATATATATATATATATATATATATATATATATATATATATATAAGGTATATGACTCGTACGTGTCGATGTAAAGAACACTTTTGCAATTGATAGAACTGAGAAAAACCACTAGATTTAGCTCAACTCATGAGTTGATACGATGCAGCGTAAGGTCGACTACCTTGCTGGTGTCGAATAAGGCGAACCAACGCCCAAAGCGTAGGTTAGCTTATCCCGCATCGGACTTTGATCTGGCCATTCATGTGACTGTCACTTTCGTAGCGAAAAGTATTTTCTTGTCATTAAATCCTCCAGGAGAGTAGGTGACACAGCACTGGTAGAGTAGTTACCTACACAAGGGAACGATTTTGGAATATCAGAATGTCTCCTCAGCAGTAGTTCCCGATGGCCTCCCGTGTTCGGATTGTTTAATGGTATGTGGGCGAGGTGGCTCAAGTGGTTAAAGCGCGAATTTAACGACCGGAAGGTCCGTGGTTCGAAACCAACCTCTGCCTCTTGACTTTCCCTGTCTAGGCTTGGGCAACCTGGCAGTATTCCGGCCCTCGTGCTTCCTTCTGCTGGCATGGCAGCTAGGCACCGAAAGGGTGCTACAGCTGGACGATGTCTGTTGTGTCTCCCTTGGTTGATTATTGTAGGCTTGCTAACTAAAAAACGCAGAGATTATTCTAGGCGCTGTCGTGAGGATTTCAGTCTGTGGCGGTGGTTTGCGAAAAAGACCAAATGCGAGTGCGAATTAGTTAAGCTGTGATACTCGAAAAAGGCTTCCATAGTTCAAACTTTTAGCGACAACGTATGAACGCGATTCACCGTGTATGGTTATCTTGAGTATGTTGTGTAGGTTCTTTGACAGACCCCAGGAAAATATTTTTCTCTTGCTACTTGTATTGGGTCATCCCGATCGAAAACCGCAGCGCTTCGGCGTGCGTTGATGGACGACGATAGACAGTGTCGCATGTGACTATGCGTGCTTGTTATCTTTCTGGCCATCGTACCACCGAGATATTTTAGACAACCTGATTACAGTGCGATTTTAGCACCATAGAAGCATTATTTTTTACATATTTGCGGTTTGGTAATGTAGGTTCGCTCAAGCCGAGTAGAAGTGTAGAAGACCAGAAATGGAAAGTGCAAGTACTGTCATGTGCACAGCCATATTCAAATTGCCCAAAAGTCATCACTGCAGCAAAAACTCTTATAAAAGGTACCTTGAAGGAATAGGTGCTGGACAAGTGGGTAAAATAGATCCTTGTCTGAATTCCTTGTATTGTGAGCAAGAGAAATCAGCTAACCAACCGATGTATGAAGCATGACCAGTAGGCAGAGCTCATTTAGCAGGATTCGTCCGTTTTTACCGGTGAAAGTGGATAGATACGAGCTCTGATTTTCCGACTACTGCAGCCAGGTCAATTGCTGTGTAATGGCTGCCACAGAAAATCTAGACATCAAAACTAATTTTCCAACCTATTACTTATCGAAGTTACCAGTATTGAACAATTCTAGCTGAAGATGCTCGGTTCGGCTTCCTCTGCCAGTGAAGTTAGCGTGGCAGTTGCTTGGGTTGTTGGGTGAGTTAGCGAGTTAGCGCACGAAGACAGGTGTTTCTGGATCCAGATTTTCAGTGGCGTCCTTATAGTATGTTTTTATTTCGTTTTCAGAATTCGGTTCGGAATATGATTGCTAGCGAAGAGGATGAGGAATTAAGCGACCAACTGCACCATGTAAACTGCAGTCCGGATGGACATCAACTAAATGGTGATCTGCAAAGTCCAATCGATGCACCACCGTTAGCCCAAGCTGTGGTCGCTGCCCTTAAACATCAGCATAGTGCGTTCCGTTCTACAACGACTACCACCACCTCAACTGCATCTTCCTCTCGCTTCTCACCAAGCTATCTGTCGGACGATAATGAGGATGATGGCGAGGCAAATGACGGCGAGTATGAAGACGCTGACGACGGTGAGGTTGAGAGTGACGTTGAGGAGCTCCTTGATCCTGACCTGGTTACCCGCTCCATGGAACTTGCTGATCGTGTGGCCCTCGTCACCGACGAAACTAAATCCATTGAACTGGATGCCGAGAGTGGCTATGGTGCCTCGTGTTCGTCCTCATCCACCCGTCTTTGCCGTTCAAGTCTCAGACGAGATAAACGTCGATGTAAGCGTCGCATTCAACGGAAGGCGAATGCCGGGACAAATACCGTCAATGTTCTTCGCTCGGTGACCGTTGACGACCCTCAGCAGCACTCTTCTGTACAACATCCTTCCCCCAACATTACTCCCAATATTGGTACCGTTGAGCCTACAAGCGATTCAGTCTGCGCCAGCGAGTCTCGTCGGAATGCCGGTCGGAATATCGTCACCAGGCACAAAAGAAACAGGGTACGGATTCTAGACGATAGTAGTCCTAAACTGAGGAGTGCAAAACCTTTTCAAAGAACTGCTAGGCGTTCACATGACTCGCTCAATGGATTCCACTCGTGCACAGAAGATACCAGGTCCGAAATGGCTGGCGAGGATCCCATTCACCTTCTAGATCCGCGAGATTCTGGTATTGTGCTCGACTCCTCCTGTCTACGATCCGCGATGTCGTCTCACTCTAACCTATACCGTACTTCTCATAGATATTCTTTGGATGAAAACATTGTTTCTCCGTTCTCAGTTACAAATTTCAGCCGGATTCCGGTTGATCGATCCCATGCAAACGCAGATGAATCCCAGTTCCTAGGGATTCCTGATAGCTCTTCTCCGAATCCAGATTTGCCTGGCGTTGGGCTGGCGCCAGGAGCTGCGATGCCCCCGCCTGCTGATGCGGTTCCAACTGCTTCGATACTGGTATCAGCTAATTCACAAACACCTAATGTCACAAATCCGGCAACCTACCAAATGCCCTTGATTTTTTCGCATCGTTATCCTCCTGTGACTGTGTATAATGATGCTTCTTGGCACGGTCACTATCATCCGGCTATTCCCAACATTCCCTTTGTCGAAAACCCGGATATTGAACAGAGTCAATGCAGGCGAGGCAACTTACCAGCCCGGCCACAAGCAAGCGGATGCTCCGTGGGCTCCACTGTTGCCAGTCCTTCACATCCAGCCTTGATTTCAAACTCTTCACCTAATGAAAGGATTTATGCATTGTCTCCCGCCCATACGGATCCGGGCGTGCCTGTCACAACCGGCTTCTCTGGTTTTAATCCACCGGAACATATCCGGGTGCCTAGGAACCCTGAGTTTCTAAACGACGCCGCCCCTAGTGGCTGTTCACAGTCTCGTCCTACCGGACACAGGCACGATCACCCTATCTCTGTTGGAAACAACTGTCATGCAAACGGTGGGTTCCATCACTCTCCAATCACCTGTCCTGGTCACTACTGTCGACACCATCATCACCTTGCCCCATGTGCGGGCTTCCACTATCATCAACCCTGTCCAGTGCATAATGGCGATGCAGCAGTCCATCGTGCGCTCGCAGACAATGGTAGCGTGCCAGACGCTTCGCACACAGAACCCGTGGTGAACGGAAAAAAGCATGAAAACTTGTCTCGACCGATTTTTGGCTCTCGGTCCAGAAGCCAGGCTGGCTCTCCTCCACCCACAAGGCCCAACAAATTGCCGTCTACTGTACACATGTTTGGCACATGTCTAAGCGACTCACCACAACACGGGCGCAGTCAGTCAGCCATGGAGCAACGTCGATATTCCGCTCCAGCCGAGCCGTTTTACGAGGTTAATTTGGCTTCTCCCCCGAAGTAAGTGCCTTGGTTTGCAAGCTACCTCCTACTCTTATACCTACTGGTGTGTATTTAGTATAGCCGCAACACATAGTTTATATCCAGTTTTACTATCTCGTGCGGATATCCATTAATAGCACGTGGCTTTTGTGCCAGCTGTTCAGGCATTGTTCGCCCACCCCGCTGGATAGACACGACGCAGTCTGTTTGCTCTTAGCTTGCAGTACTTGCTCAAAATGAGGATCAGAACTTTATTCTGTGAAAGGATGAGCAGCTCAAACAATGTCACAAATGACAACGGCCCAGCCACCCGCAGAGTGGTCGGAATTATGTTGTTAAGTTGGTTAGTCCAGGTCCACCCGGCCGCACCCCCTTGTTTAGTCCACCCAGTCGAGCGTACTGATTGGGAATTTAGCTTCCCGCGCATCGTATACAAGGGTGTTCGTGCTCAGGATTACCTGCCGATATGAGTGCTATGGTTTTGGGAGCCCATCTTCCTGTGTTCGGTGCATAACCCCTCGCCACAATCGGCCCACACAGCTTAATTTCTCGGAACAGTGTGATTGGTAACGTATCCTGGTTACGACTATTCAGTGAACTTCCTTGGCGCAAACCATTCTATTTGTCTAAACAGCTTGTCATTACAATTAATTTTGTTACAACTTGAAACTTTTTCACCACCCACAAAGCAAATTACCCCCGTTTCAACAGAGGCGAGCCAATTTCTCAGTTAAGATTTTTGTAAAGACTCGGGTGGCTGAATACACTCTTTTGCCTGGTTCCTATTTCGCCTCGCCAGGTATGAGTACGGTTTCACAGGCGGCTCGTAGCATCTCAGGCGAATGTTCATAGTTCAGCACACGGGCTTCGCTTGAATGTAGTGTCTGTTAATTTTTCTTTCCAAGCCAGCCATGCGGAAACGCACTTGAACTTCGTGTTCACTTATCGTTGGAACGACATCGTTCAGACTCACTGTGGTTAGCTTGCATGCAAGCAAGCACCTAACAGGTATCCTCTAGAGATAGAGGGGCAGTTTTCGTGAATTTCTGATGACACTTTGCCCACCGGTAACGAGCAAAGCAGTGGACGGTTATTTGGCCCCTCCTATGTTCCATCAGATCTGCACGTGCTGGCAACGGAGCCGTGGATTCTTCATGTTTACAGTTACAAACACGCGATCCGTGACACAGCAGCTGGGTCTTCAGGAAATCGCTCGACTTGGTGAACTTCATATTCGTTCCAATAATGATCGGACACTTGCATTTGAGCAAGTATCTCTCATACCCCATATTGACATTGGGAGATGTTTTTTTCATGAGGTTTCATTTTTACCATGTCGTGCTTCACAAGTAAGTCTGGGTGATAAAAGCGTTTGCTCAAAGGAGGCCAGATGTGGATACTGCCGTTCGTTCCTCAGCTTCTACTAGTCAAACTCGGTAATAAGCTTGCAAACGTCTCGTCATCAATCGAGGGGACGTCATTAATAATGAATAAATTAACCATAAAACGTTCTTCGTGCAGCACTTCTGCTGGTTGCAATCTGTATCGTTGATGCTGACGGCTTTTCGAAGTAGGGTTCGCACTGAACTTGAGTTGCATATACCTGTGTGACTTCGCTTTTTAAGACTGCTCCGTCATGCTTACACACTTGAGTGAAGACGAATTCTATCAATGATTTTTCTCATCTTTTTATAGTTCCCTGTCTTCTGGTGCCCAAGATGTTCCACGACGTGTCAGCCTCGTAGTTGACAATGTGCGCTTCCTAATTGACGTGGATCGTTTACGAGCCCATCCGGATACCATGCTGGGGCGAATGTTTGGATCCAGCTTCTCAGAATCCTCTCGCCTTTATCGTGTTCATTCACCGGACTTCACTGGACAGGAGCACGAAGACTCTGACTCCAAGGATAATTCACCACAAAGGCAATATACCACAGAACGGTCACAGTTACTTAGACATCCACCTGATATTCTGCTGGCTCAGAACTCGAACATCTCCGCTCAACTGTTCAGAGCTATTCTGGATTACTATCTTCTCGGTTACATGCTATGTCCACCAGGAGTTTCTGTGCAAGAACTCAAAGAAACTTGTGACTACTTCATGATTCCGTTCAACCACCGAACTGTTCGATGCAGTAATCTCCGTGCTTTTTTGCATGAACTGTCGAACGATGGTGCACACACGATTTTTGAACGGTTCCTCGAGGCTCATATTCTCTCACTCCTGGTCAAGTGTGCTCAGCTTGGTGAGCGAGAATGTCACGTAGTCATTGTGACCGATGAGGAGACCATAGACTGGGATCCGGACTATCCTCCGCAAATGCCTGAGAACGAACTACATTCCCACATCATTTATAGCACTCAGATGTTCCGTTTTCTTAAATACATTGAGAATCGTGAAGTTGCTAAACAAGTGCTACTGGAACGCGGACTGAAAAAGATCAGGATCGGGATTGAAGGTTATCCCACGTGCAAGGATCGCGTCAAATTCCGTCCTGGTGTACGCCCCGAGGCCATTTACAACTACGTTCAATGCCCATTCCTTCGTATGTCCTGGGAAGAGGAGGAGAACAAGTCACGGCATGTGGATTTTCAGTGTGTGAAAAGCAAATCGGTCAGCGATTTGACTAGCGGGCTTGAACAGGCCGTAGTCGATCCTCTTCCCCCTCATTTAGCCCGTTCTCCTTTGAATCAGCTGCGGGTAACGTCACCCCCGAATGATCCAAGTACCGGCCTGTCTAATTTTGGAACTCAAGTGGACTTGCTGGAATCGGACGGTGTGTTAGCGGTGGATATCGCACAGGAGAATAGTCCTTCTCTTCCAACTGCAGAATCTGCTAGTCCAGCCCTTCCTGATGGTGAGCAGTCTCCAGCCCCAGCACATTCAGCGCCTGATTCTAGCCTATCTTCAAATGAGCGATTCCAACAGGATGATAGCAGTATAGCATAATCAATATCTTTCTGTTGCCTCGCCTCTTTCGAGCTGGTTGACTGTTGATTTACTTGACCTCTGTACTAATCGGGTATCAAACCACGCTCACGTTACTTCCAACGCTAATGTTGGTCTCGTGCAATCTGACCTCCCTAGGTATGATTTACCCGAACTGCTCGCTGTTATCCGCTCGTGCGAAACCTCCCCGTTCTGTGCATACAATCTGTGATATTTTGGTTGCCTCTCTCTCTATGCGTCCGTTGCCCTGACTGTATTTATGGCTCGTGTTGCGAATCCTCTGTTTCCTTTCCCGACATTCATTAGCATACTTCACCAACGTACTTCATTGTTTGTGCATAGACTCACACCATGTATCCCAGCTTACACACACACTATGATATTGTGGGCTGCGTTTCTTTTTCCCCACGTTTACCCTCACTTAGCTTCCTGACGATGTTCACCTCGTAGGTTGTCGCATACCCTCGAATCGCCTCGTACAGCTGTTTTTCTGAGTTGTCGAGCTGAACCCTTCCATATATCTGCTTCCATTCTTATTTCCCGTTACTCATCTCGTGGTGCCAACTGCCTTTGTGCATGCTCTCTGTCTCCGTATATGGTGCACTATATGTACGTTTTGTTCACGAACTGACGAGCTATGCAACTGTTGGTTCTGATCTGACCAGTCTTTGGGTGAGGGCATTTTATCACCTGTATGCGATCTGCGGGCATCACGCCGCTATGTGTTATCTTGTCCGTTCACGCTCTAAAGCCTTTTTTCTCTGGAAGTCACAATAAGCCGACCTAGGATTGTTTTTCTGGTGTCCTGGGGTCAACTTCAACGTGAATCGTGACCATTTTTAGCGTTCCGACAGCAATTTTGCTGGCTTATGAAGGGTGTTTGATTGGCCTACTCAGGTTACACGTTTTTTATTTTAATCCCCTTTGTAATGACGTCAGAACGTGTTTTTCTGTCATTCATTCTGTTTCAGCTATCCGACCACACTCAGGTGACATTTGTAGCAAGCTCCAGCTTTCGGCCGGTCTGCGACACATTTGAACACTAAATAGCCTGATAGTGACGAGTGGAGTCGCGCATATTTCGAGGTTCAGGGAAGATTTTTATTCAGCCTACCCGTTGGACATTCCGATTAGTGAGCGAGTACCTCAGTGAACAAAAATAGTTTCATCGTTTTGCGTTTACGCGAGAAGTTTTCCTCAAGGTACCAAATTTTACATCGCGAGGCGGGAGAATTACTATCGGAACACTGAATTTGGCCTCGATTCACGTTGAAGCCGACCCCAGGACACCATTAAAATAATCCGAGGACTACTTATTGTGATTTTGAGAGGTATTACACTAAAAAAGATACAGTAACTAGTTCGTAAGGTTGACCACAGCCATGCCTTGCCAAATGTATCCCGAACCCTTGTCAGAGAAAGGTTCATGGGTGAGAGACCGTGATATCGCTATGCGAAATGATAGCTGTTGAAACGAATGCTGTGGCCACGTTGGCGGGGATCCACGTGATTCTAGAACGTGACTGGAAAGCATACAGGACATGGCGCGTAACCGATTCTAGTGGCTTGCATGTCGTCATTTTTTAGTCGAACTGCGTAGACAAAGTCTTTCTGTCGACGTGTGACGGTGGATCAATCCGATTGATAGCGTAATATGTCAACATACGCTCAACTGTGCTTATTTGGCCTGTTGGAAAGTACCGAAAGCCTACTGTTTGAGGTTCCACCCAGGAATGGAGGGCTTTATGTTCCATTTCCTCACTTTTTACTAGGGATTTCCACATAGCAGTTGCGCATTAGTCTCGACCGATATGTTTCTGTTTATGGTGATAACCAAAGGTGATTTCTGAAGAACGCTTATCTTTGTGGGCTCACTGTCTCCGTTGATGTGTCCACGATCGCAGTACTTATTAACTGACACACTTGGTAAATGTTTCAACGCAGTGGAAAGTGGCCATATCTCAGATGTCAGTCTGGCAATAAACCTTAGTAGTGCGACTAGAGAACGGAATTTATAATCATTCATGACTACGTTATCCACTTGCACTAGCCCGGCGTTTACTGGAGTCGTAACTCGCGAGATGTCAACACTTTGTTTGCTTTCAGTCACAGAACATACTGTATTTATATGACAGGCTTATGGCAAGAAGCTTCAGACTGCATTGTCTAAAAAGACCTTTCTGTGTCGTACCTTGGAACGCTTATCACTAAGTCCTTAAAATATGACCGATTGCCGCTGTCCAGATGTGAGGCGGTTGATGATGGTTCCCCTATGGAACTACCCTCCACATAATGGAATAATGGCTTGTATAAGAATGGATGGTCTCTCTGTGGGTAATTTATTAGGCCCAATTTGAACCGACTGTTCTAAGATACACAATCCGCGAAAGGATCCAGTGCGCCCTATTCTAAGTTGTTGTATTTGGAGTAACACTCAAGTTTGTTTTTTTACCTCTTTGGAACTTTACACCTCAACCTTTGTCTCACGAACGTGAATCCTATGACGGGCTAGTCTTCCTAGATGTTTCCATTCATCAGACACTCGACGGAACAGTGAAGCATCCATTTTGACGTAAGGTCATTAGGGGTGGCCATTTTCTGCATTTCAGCAGCTTCGTATCCACCAATTAAAATGAGATTTGGTGGGAACCCTTTTCCACACAGTTAGAAACATAGGCACCACAGAAGAGTTTCTAAGGTAGACAAGGATCAAACGGCGAGAGATCTGTCGTCACACGCAGTAAAGCTAGACCACCAAACGAATCGAGTTATGCCGTATCCCACAAGCTGTATGCTCGCCAACCTATCATCAGAACAAGTCAGTTTTGAATCACGCATATCCGGTGTCATATTCCAGGCTTGTCTCAACCACAAATGATCGCACATGCGACCTGATTGTCCGAGTTCGTCCAACCTGTCTACCCCACTTGTTGCAGAACGGACCGACATCTCACAAAGAGTAGCGCAACAACTTCCAAAAGGTCTGTTACAGGCAAGTCAGACAGCCGCACACTGTACAGTCGATCGCACGGACTCTAAATTCATGGACCGCTTGACGTCGTGTTGGAACGGGTCGTCTTGGTGACCCTCGCAGTTCAGTCTTTTTTCGCAACTCGAAATCAGGCTTGTCAGTACTCAGTAGAGTCATTGGTCAACCATACAAAGCCGGTCTTGTTTATGCAAGACTGATCTGAAACTCGTGTCTACCTCGGAACTGACCTTACATTCCACGACCGTAGACCAATGTTTTTCTCACTGCTGCCGCGTCGTGATTACTCAAATACAGAATGTTTTGCGTGCGGCGAGTGATGAAGGCAAACGGAATATGGACTTCTCGCTGCCTTATCTTTGTAATGTACTACTCATAAGGTTGCTGAAAATCCATCGACAACCCACTGAGAACATCACAAACGAGAGAATCAGCTGGGTTCCAGGTAAATCTCTCGAAAAACAAAATTAGTTTGCAAATGAGTGTATATTCGCTATTCTCGCTGTCTTCCTGCTTCCGTTCCTTTTGGAATGGGTTAGGTGGACTCAGTTTCAAGTTCATTGAAGTGTTCTTTCTGATGTCAGATCTATCTAGGCAACTATTGGGGTAGTAAGCTTCTGCCATCGATTCATTTCTGCTGATTCTTTACTGAATATGTCGTTTTCTCCAGAAACTGCGTCCAGATTGGAAGTACACTGTTATTACATTCCGTAGTTTTAATCGATTGGACCACATATCTCTCAGTGTTTTGAAACTCACTAGATTTCACACACCATATCATAGCGGTAGGTGGAAAATGGATTCAGTTACGCTCCAAATTAAATTTAAGGTCATCCTCGAATCATACACACAATCAGTTGTTTGTTAACCTTAACAACAAGCATAGCCAGTCTTATTACAATTTCACCTTGTGTGTGCGTGTTAAAGCACGGTTCGATTGGTAGTCGTAGTAACCGCAGCGAAATCAATGGATGATGGGACAAAGAATCCAGGTAGTTTATCTGGCTAACGTTGACTTCAATCATCTCTGATTTCGACTGTAATCTATGCAGCCCCAAATTTTATCTGTCGCCTGCTTCGTCTAAGGCATGAAGCTGCTGTGTTGAACTCCGTATTCTTTGAAAAGAGCACAGTGACGAACATTAGAGTTTTCGGGATCTCGTTATGAGGTCAGTACATATCTAGTGGTCAAAAATGAAATACGCAGCGAAGATTGGTTTTTGAGACGCTCAGTATTCGCATAATGCAACAGACATTTGAGAGCTATGACGTGCCCCTGATGGGATAAAGCAATTGGGCAACTGAGCTCAGAGTACCAGTCCAAACTTTTGAGCCCCATTTAGGCATCCCGGGGTCTCAGCGATACTGGGAAATTATTCCACCTGACTTTCCCACCAGAGGTATGGTTGCTTCAGCGGACAATGAAATTTGGTGAGCTGCAAAAATGTGAAGGTAGATTAGAACTGTTTTTGGTTTGAGCACATAGACAACAAAATGCAACGTTTTGGCGCAAAAAGTTTTACTCCACTCTTAAAGGTTTTGCAGCCAAAAGCATTGTGTGGCTGATGGGCACCGGTTAGTCAAATGCAAAACGTGGAGACACGAACGCGCGCCTCCATGTCGCCTCTAGTTGGATGCTGTGAGACAGTCTAGAGGGCCGTTGAGTAACTTGGCAGGTTGATATGTGCCACACGACCAAACAGGCTCAGCGTTCGTACGGAACGTTTTGACAGCACAGTACCAGGTTTCGCAGGCGTATAGCGATTGCCTCGGCTGTAGTCGAGCAACGCCGTTGGATAGATACTGGTAGTCCACTTGGTACATGGTAAATGACTTGAAATGACTCATTTGGAATGACTACGTGCCCGGTGGGACGCATGTGAGCTTCTGGCTGAGCTGTTTAGGTTAATGATATTCCAGTAAGAGATGTGTTCGCGTATTCTGTTACTAAGTTGCCGTGTCGTGCGCCCAACGTACTCCGCTGAACAATAGCAGGAGAAAGAATACACAACCGTATACGTGGTGAGAACTGGCATCTTATCTTTGAGGTTTAAGTTGAGCACAGGGTTGGTTGTAAACCAAGACCACAGAGTTCCAGCCGGAAACGTGTGTTGTAAGGATTGGAAGAAGCATATTCTGTTATTCAGTTCGTGATCCGCTTAGATTGTCCGCTCTATCGCCCTTGTACTGTCTAAAACTCAGGTTCTGGTTCAGAGATCCCGTTTTTTGTACGATTGGCTCCCGGTTTGGAGTGACTAGGTCAGCTAACGTGGATGCGATTTTTGTAGCATGGTTTCAATGCGACCGTCCCTGAGTAATTGGACCTCAGAATTGTGCACTTAAGCGAAATGTATCCATTGAAAAAATATTCTTTACACAAGTGGTAGTTTTTACGAGATACTTTTCCAATGTACATGCCACCAGTTCGTGCTCAGTGAGTCACTGTTTTGCTGGGTGTTGTGTAATGAATTAGTGACCGATCAATCTTCCCCGTGCATACCAGTTTCTAATTCTCTCCGCAGAGGCACCAAGGGTTTTTCGAACCACACGTCCATCTTCATTTTCGCAGTGGGGATACTATCTGATTAAATGGAATAGACCATAGTCAAATAAATGACTGGCGTCCGATTGGTTGCTTGCTTTCGACTGATAACATGGTCATCCACAAAAAGCGAATCTCTGACTTGGGCAGCCTCATTTTGACCATTAAACGTTTCGAGTTGGAGCGACCATCTAGACTGTTG